AATCTCCTTCTTGCCCCCAATCTGAAAAGAAGGTCCATCCTTCTTCAAAAGCCTTTCAGGCTAATCCCACCTGGCTCTGTTCATTACTTAAACCTTTTGGGGTGTGAAATGAGCTACCGTGACTGGTTGCAGCATTACAGCATGCGTTTTTCTCCTCCTCCTTCTTCTTTTAATATACTTTAATGCGTGCAAAAGCTTGAAACATCCTTACCTAAGCTCTTGCTTCAGGAAAGAATTCTTATCACAGCAAATGCAGTCCGCGGAACCCGAGAAAAGAGAAGAAAGCTAAGCAGAGTGTGAAAAAGAGAGGCAGGCGATTTACTACCACGCAAGTACCCTTGGGATATCTTCCTTTCTCTCCCCACAATTCATCTAGAAGTATCTTTCTATACTCTATATACAACCTCAAAAAGTAATAATGCTCACATCTATAAACATGGAGAAATGCTTCCCTGAAACCAGAGGAATCCTTTGAGGGCACACACCCCATAAAATGGCAATAGGTATTTAGAAATAGGTCTTCTGCAAGCCTTAGTGTGTCAACAAGGTGTGTACGGTGTTTCTCTGAGATACCACATTTCTACACAGATATGGAAATGTGTAATGGAGTTAACTGCATCTGCAGATCTGGAATATGTTCAGTATTTTAAAAGTAAAAACTAATTGTAATCTTTACACACAAACTCCGTGGACATTAACCACTGGTTTTCTTTAAGGAAAAGAAACTTGGATATAGAAGTTTTGATTGAATGCTTTAGTTGCAGAACTTATATATAACATATCCCTCCTTAACAAGTCAGCCTTTCAGTCATTCAGAGATTTTGTCTTTCAAAACTAAATAGTGAAAAAATAGAATTTCTAACTTTTCGTTTTTGCATCGAACATTTCTAAAATGTTTAATGCATTGCTCCCTCATTTCTAAAAATAAGCAATGGTTTGTTGTAAACTTTCTCCTGCTTTAAAGTCTGTTTATATGTGAATACCAATTGTAATAAACTGTGTTCAGCCGATAAAAAAGGATGAGTTTGAGTTGACAGGATTTGAAATGCAGATAGCCCATCTCAAATGAAATTCCACACTCTTACTTCCAGCGCTTGGAAATGTTTACAAACTGCTGGTCTCGTTTTGCTACCTCTAGGTTTCTGATATGAGTGTTTACTGCAGAAATTTAAATATTTAAGAACTTCACAGTGTATTTCCAAGATAGTATTTTGCCTAGTTGTTTGAAATAATACAAAACAACATAAGAACAGAGTTAACTGCATTCTGTTTTATCTGTGTTTTTATAATAGTCTGTTTTTTCATGCTAATGTTGAAACTGAAAGTGTAGAAAAGACAATCTCAGAAAACAAGATACATTGTTTCTCTTTTCTTAATGTTGCAATGGTTAGTGGCCTGGAGTTGGTTCAAAGCACAGAGACCCGATGTACAAAAGAATGAAACACCACCCAGCCTGAGCCATCCTCACTAGCGTCCTTATGTTTGAACTCCTTGTTGCAGCCGCTGTGTCAATCCATCTCCTCAACTGTCCTCTTTTTCACTGCCCATTACTTTCTCAAGCATGATTTTCTTCTCTGGGGGCTCGTCTCTCCTGACAACATGTCCAGTGTACATGAAAAGCAGGCTGGACAGTACTAGCTCCTAGGAGGATCGTGGTTGTCTTCTTCCAAGACGGGTTTGTTTGTTCTTTTGGCGATCCATGGTATTTTCAATATTATTTTTAGCACTATAACACATATGCATCTATTCTCTGATTTTCCTTATTCTAGATCCAATTTTCCCATGCATATGAGGCCATTGAAAATGCCATGACTTGGGTTAGGCACATCTTAATCTTCAAAGTAACATTCTTGGTTGACTTTAAAGAGGTCGTGTGCCCCACATTTACCCAATGCAATGTGTCTTTTGATCGCTTGACTGCTTCTTCCATGAGCAGTGACTGTGGATCCAAACATGATGAAATCCCTGACAACTTCAATCTTTTCTCCATTTATTATCATGTGACCACTTGGTCCTATTGTGAGGATTTGGGCTTACTTTACATTGAATTGTGATTCATACTGAAGAATGTGATCCTTGATCTTCATCCACAAGAGCTTCAAGTCCTCCTTACTTTCATTAAGCTAGGTTATGTCCTCTGCAAATCGATCATTGCTAATAAGATGTCTTCCAACCCTGATACCACATTCTTCTTCATGTATTCCGGTTGCCCTGATGCTTAAACAAGTGTGGTGAGAGGATACAACCCTGATGCAACCCCTTCTTAAAACATAAATTATTACTATTTAATGGAACAGTGAAAATATTGCTGTTGAGCAGCGTTGAGATTTCAGGGTAGAACAAGCAGCGTTTCTTTAATAACTTTGTACTTAATGTTTTTATCTCCAGTCTTCCTTTCTTCTAGAATAAGAAAATGTGTTTTAAAACCAGCAGTCAAAGGCATCATAGTTTGGTGCCATTGAAAGGTACACAATATAAAACTATTTATAAATAATTTAATATTATTCAACTTATGCGCTATCTATATTTCATTTGAATTTTCATAGAAATCAATGCACAATGGGGTGTGTCTTAGGAGAGATTCTCAAGTGCAAGAAAAGAAGGACTGCAAGAGAAATTTAAAATTTCAAACACTCTCAAATTCTCACCTCTGAAATATATTTTTAATAAATTACCTTTGAAGATATTTCTTTACTTAGTAAGGAGTGCCTTAACACAATTTGCTTATCAGGTAACTATAACTCATTTTGAAATGAATAAAATAAAGTAAAACAAATCACATTTGGCTATCACTGTTGATCCCAAAGTGGTTCTAACCAAAGTAACATAATTAGTTCCACATTTAGTTGCTAAGCCCATGGTCAGCAGTTCAAACCCAAAAAATGCTCTTTGGGAGAAAAATGAGGTAATCCATTCCCATAAATATTTACAACCTCATAAACCCCAACAAGCAGTACTACCTTGCCCTATAGAATCCCTTTATGTCAGGCTTGACTAGCTGGCTAGGTTTTGTTTTTTAATTTGGTTGTTCCTAATCTACAACATGCAACTGTAACATGGAGGACTTGTTGAAACATAGGTCCCCATACCTAGAGTTTCTACATTTGTTGAACTATGGTAAAAATGATAAATTTGCATTTTCTGTACATCTCTTGGTGAAACTGAGGCTGCTGGCTCAGAGGTAACAATTTGAGAATCTATGGGCCATTGGAAAAGCTCATAGACTAAGGAACCCAGAAAAATGTCTAACACATAACCGACACTCAGCAGAAAAAAGATTGCTAGGAACTTCAACGGGCAAATAGAGATTAACTAACTATGACCTTGGCCCTAGATGTGCACCAATGAAACAATTCCAATGCTGTTTCTGGAGCTTGCAGACAATGTAAACACAATTCAAACTAGACAGGTAGTGCTTGATATTTATAAAAGGAAAGTGTGGTATAATGAATCCTTCTAGAAGCCATATCAATGTTAAAATGTAAGTCTCTAAAAGATTTACTTTGTTCATCATTCTGTCTTTATGTGTCTCCTCTAGTATAATGATTGTGATTTTAAAAAGCCCTCCTCCACTTTAGTGGTTTTGGCCTTCTACAAGTTAGAATTTGCATCTTCCCTCACATTTGAAATGGTTATGCCTGTTTGGTTTGTTTTCTGAATTTCTGTAAATATATTTTACATAAATATTTAAGTAAGATCATTCACATGTAGTGAATAGCTTAAGCTCTAACCACAGCAACAATACTCATCTTTCCTTTAGTAATTAAATATCGGGCTTTATTAAAGGAATGGGCCTCACTTTGGGAACCTGAGATGCCTTTTCTGTTTCTAACACATAATTATAAAATACTAAATTCTGTACATGATGTACAGGCTTCATGACTCTCTGTTTAGTGGAGGAGACGTAGTAGATTTCCATCCAGGTTATTCAGGGGTTGTCTCTCTTGACAGAGAGAAGAAATACATTCACCTAGTGTTTATCCTCTTGCTATTCATCACAACACTTAGGAGCATTCCTGGGGAATTTTCTATACACAGAAGTCAGAAGTGGCCAAGGTCTATGGAGAATATTAGTCCTTCTTTTGGAGAGGCAGGCAGCAGCTTCATCATGGTCACATGCATTACAAAAGGTAGAAACCTATCCTTTTTACTATTAATTTGTGATCAGAATTTTTCCAGACTGAAGGCATATATTTATACCTAGGAAAATTAAAGTCTGGAATAATTAAAGGTAAAATATAACATTAGGAATTATGAAGCTGAAAGTCTCTGGCAGAGCTTTGGAAGGAGTGTCAGGATAATTAAGCATTTTCAATGGAGATTCATAGATGAAAGTAGATTTATGAAATAAATATGTTTTCAGAGAAAGGGAAGTCCCTGGCTTAAGTGTCTTTTTCACAGAGGCACCTTGTTTCCCGCCCAGTTCTGGCTCACTCTCTGACACGTGCAGGCCCAGGATACACAGCCTTGGAGAGCACTCTCCTGGTTTCTGGGCTTAAATCAGGGCTTGTGCTGCTTTGAATTCAACAAAATATCAAGAACCAAGCAGTATTTGGGGAAAAATTAAATATCTCTTTTGCTACATTGTTTACAGGCAATGTACGTTTTTCAAAGGACTTAAAAATGATGGGGCTGCAACTCTCTGAAATGTAGTCATTAATATTAACCATTATGGAAACTACTGGAAACCACCTAAATGTTCGATGCAATACCAGATTCGTAAACGACATATGTACTGACTTTAACTTCGAAAACGGTGAATGAGTATGCAAACAAGGAATAGATGTATTATGCAATAATGCATAAATAAAACTATATTCCATGGCATTGTGGGTAATTCGCCAATTGGCAACTTATTTTAGGTAGCAAAATATTGAAGATTTTGATATTATAATATAAAACTTTCTTTGTATGGTATTCAATAATTTATCTTAATTTCTGCAACAGCAAATAATTGAAAGTGTTATGTAGTCTTTTAATCTCTGTGTGTTTTTTCCCAGGAGTGAGAATACATCTACGCCCATTTTCTCTGCTAGAGATGGACCATTTGTAAAATTGAACAGGACATCAAATGGCAGCTTAATACTAACACCTAGGTGGGTACTAAATTCTGCATTTGGTCTGTTTGTATCTGAACATGAAAGAAAATATATTTTGAAGCCATGTGAATTTGAATATTAACACATATTGGTCATGTCATCTTGAAATTGTTTTATTTTTAAATAAAATTAAATCATTCAATCCCAGATCTTTGGGTACTGCAAACATTTGGGTGCCCAACTATGAACGGAGAGGTTGATGGTTCAAACTTCAAGAGTAGCCTAGAAAGCATGGTTACCTCCTTGAAAATTCTATAAAGCATTTGTATTAGTCTGGGTACTTCAGAGAAACAAATCCATAGAAGTTCATGTATAAAAGAGAGTTTTAGATAAAGGTTAAGTGCTCATCAAGAAAACATCTCAACCCAGTGCTGCCCAAACTCACAAGCCCAACATTAATCCATTAACCCATAAGTCCAACACCAATCCACAAAGTCCCCCTCCATCTCACAAAGCAGATGTAATGATGCCTACTGCAGAAGGAAAGCTGAGTCAGTGAATGTGTAAACATCTCAGCGCTGGCAGGGGTCTCCACACTGGTGCTTCAGCACTCAGGGCTGCATTGGGGTGGGTCCATGTGTCTTCTCCACAGGGATGTCTTGCAGGAAGTGAGCCTTGCCAGCTAAAGCAGGGAACTGGCTAAGGCAACTGCACCCTGGTCCTACCATCAGAAAGCAAGAGACCAGAGAACTAGAAAGGCGAGGCTCATTGAGCTATTTATCTCTCCGCCCATCAATTAACCCCACATGTGTTTATCATCCAAGTTGGCACAATAAACTAACTGACTCAGCATTCTACTGTGTAATTCATTGGGTGGCCTTGAGCCACTGTAAAAAGTAAAACAGAAAACTAATCATATCAAAGAATATCTAACTCATCCTATATAATAGTACTGCCTAACCATTATAGACATGATAAGAAGGCTAAATGATGTAGTGTACTTGCATATATATCTCTAAAACATACATTTTAATTCTATATCATTTTTTGCCCTTAGTCCCAGCCTCATAAGAATTAAATCACATAGAATTAAAGAGAATTGGGAAATATAGGGCAGATATTGATCATACTAGAGAGACCAAAAAAAATCAAATACCATAAGAAAGAAGAATTTATCATGATGCTATTTTCTCAGCTTTTCTCTATTTCAGTAACTCAAACATGAAATTTAAATGGAGAAATGTAGACTTGTAGTTCTGCCTAAATATTCTCTATTGCTATTTAATATGAGGTTGACTTTTATAGCCTCTACTAAGGTTTGAAAGAGCAGTGCCCTTTTTGATTCAAAAATCACTTTTAGATTATGTCATTTCCCCTGTTTGGGAATTAATGCTATTTTTTGTTGAAATTGGCTTCTGAATTTTACAGTACTATTAAAGGCCAGCTGTGGGTAGTAGAAAGTAACAGTATAAAGCCATGACTAGGAATAAGGATTTAAGATGCAATTGCTGGTGCATTAGCTTGTAGTATTTTGTACAACACAGTTAATAGTGAATAAAAGAAACTATGTAATTATCCATCTATTTGGGAAAAGTCACCATTTACATGAGCTAGAGCAGTAAAACACATTGGCAAAGGGTGTTTAAGTAGCAATCAAAGCACTTTGTTTGCAGTTGAATGTCTTGCATGAATATTTGCCTGGGCATTGACTGAAATTATTAGTGTAATAGGGTAGGAAGTAAAGCATCCGCAATTGAGAAAGCAGGCTTTCAGAATTTCATGCTATGAGACATGTATAAATTTAAATTACCATTAGACATATTGAAGCAGCTTGTACATTGAGGATCTCTTCCATCGATGTCCTATAGGCATTTAAGAATTGGTAAGAAAAAGAACAAAAGGAAAGTTTTCAAAATATTTATCTTAATCATTTTCATGTTTCAGAGCAGAGCTGATTTTCTATACTAGCAAAATGTCCAGATTATCTTATACTGATATCACTATCATGTGTAAGATCATGTTATCTGAAAGAGACAACACATAGGAATACAGATATTTTTTTCCTTACAATACACCAACAAGCCAATTAATTGAATGCCCTTGGTCTCTTCTAGAATTAGCCACATTATATTACATTGACAGAAAGATCACATATATATAGTCAGCTAGTTGAATAGTTGATCATTGCAGAGATTATTATGTTTATTACCCCACTGAGGTGGATCCTTTTGAAAATAGCCTCAGTACTCATGGTTGTCATAAAAACATGGGTAAAGGAAGAGGCTGTAGGGAAAGTGATTCTTCCAACTCTGAAACTTTACTGACTTATATCACCCTTCAAGAAGCCCACGTGGTACAGTGGTTGACCTGTTAGGTTGCTGACTGCGAGGCCTGCGGTGGGAACTCACCCTTCACTCTGCAGGATGAAGATAAGGCTGTGTGTTCCCATACAGATTTGCAATGTTAGAAACTCCAGGCGGCGATTTCATTTTGTCCTACAGGGTCCCTGTGAATCAGACTTTCTCCATAGCACTGGGTTTGGGCATCCCTCAGCCACTGCTTCTTTCGTGAGGTGAGGCCAACAGAAGACTGAAAAGGCTTCCCAAAGAAACGCCAACAATGTGACTGAGGAAAATCGCAGATGTTGTATATTTCATGCATCTGTTGGCACTAGGTTCCATTTTCTCCACATTATTTAGACCACTTCACTATTCGTCCTAGACATTCATGGAAATTTGATTTAATATCTATTGATCAACGTGTTCTACACAATGATGAACACCGAATAGAAAGTGTTTATCAAAATACCTTATTTTAAGACTTATTAATTGACAGATACTGTGGTAGGAATGTATTTTTTTTCAATAATAAATAGTTGAGTTTTAAAGTACACAACTGCTGTATGACTTAGCCACTGCTGTTCCACGATCCGGCTAAGAAAACAGAGACCCGGTGTTTAATGACTTGCACAAGTTCACACTACTCGTAGGCAATGCTGAGATTCTAACTCAAGGCTCTTTCTCAAACCTGCTAGCTTAGTCCTGTAATGTGTTATCTTTTAAGTTTCTCACAGTGACATCTCACTTCATATAGCAATTCCTCAGAAGAAAGAGAATCGGAAAAATCATGATCAATTTAGCAGAAATAAAGGCCAGGCCATCAGACATAAACTGGGAGGGAAATCAGTTCCCTTTGTTAACACAGTAGATAAAACACATCCAATTCTATGACAGTGTTACCCTACTAGACTGAGAGAAAGGCTTGGCCCTGCAGCATTATCTTTTTCCCCAAGAGAAATAGGTGGAGAGTAATTCTACTTCTGGCCAATTTGGTTAATTATCCGGGTTCACTGCTCATTCTGAGCAGAAATGAAACAACGTAGTCCTCTGAACTGTGACGATACCTGTGTGTGTTCATGCAGGAAAATTCTGAATAACTAAAATGCATAGAGAATGAGGAGCCAAGGTCAGTGTAATTTCCTGGTTCAAGATTATCTCACTGCCACTGAGCCACCCTGGAGGATGGATAGAACTGCTCCCTGGGGGTTTTGAGACTGTGGACGTGTCCACCAGCAGACAGCTTGGGATTTCTCCCATAAATGGCCGGCAAGTGTAAGCTGTTGGCCTCTGCTTACTAAGACAATTCCACCAAACCACCATTCCACCAAATCACCAAAACCCTGAAACTGTTCTGTGCGTGCAGAAAAAATATACACTCTCAATTGTATTGACACATTTTCACCACCTTTATACATCAAAACTCACTGTCACTGAATCCGTTCTAATCAATAGAGACCCTGTAGAACCAGCTAGAACTGTCTTCTCTGGATTTCTGAAACGGTCAATAGTTACAGAAGTAGAAAATCTCACCTTTCTCTGACAGAAAAGCTGGTGGTTTCTAACTGCTGACCTTGTGATTAGCAGCCCAATAAGTAGCCCACCATCTCACCCAGGCTTCTTCTGATATAAATGCATGCATCTTCCTGAGACCATTTAACATGTCTCAAAAAGACGGACCCCTTTGAGTACACATTTTCCCTGATAACTAGTTCATAAATGGAAAGATATTGAACTTCATAGCACACTAGAACACATCCTGAAGACTACTGCATTGCAACGACAGGTAGACCATAGAAAGGGTGGTAATTAAAGCTTCTTGGGGGGAGTTATAGAGATATACATCTATAACTAGATAGATAAAAATAGATGGCTATGAATAAGGAACTCTAATGTCACTGTGGTGAAGCACTGGGCTGCTGACTGAAAGATCGCTCTGCTGGAGAAAGATGGGTCTGTCTGTTTCTGGAAGGATCCTCAGTTTCTGAAACTTTACTGGGGCAGTTCTACGCTGTTCAATAAGATCAGCCTCAGTCAGAATGAACTCAAAGGAATTGGTTTGGGTTGGTTCTTAGTAAATAGGCTTCCTTTTTCCAATTCAAATTGTCCTGTTTCAAAGACTTTGTCAAACAAATAACGAAATGGTGTCTCATTTCAAGTAAATCTTATCAGATATATTCCAGAGAGACAGAATTGTTTGATTATATTTATAATCTTCTATGCATCTGATTTGTGTTTTTTTTTTGTCTTGTTTTTCTCGAATATTTTAAACTCCTAACCAAAATGCACAATTAAATTTAAAGTCGTTAAAATTATAAATATAAACCATTAAAGGTGATGTGTAGTTTAAAGAGACCAAAATAATTTATACTGGCTGTTTTATAAGGGCTGGCAACTGCTTGAATTCCTTATGTTTTACTGATCTCTAGTGGTTACTGTGTATAATGCATCTTAAAATATTTTTTCTTTGTTTAATTTTGATTTAAAATGGAATGCTTGACTTTTTTGAAAAATTTGATATACACATTTCCAAGCAGGTGGTGACTTTATAAAACTAGTCTGATTGGCATATAACTCACATATTGCACAATTCAATAATTCAATCATATTTGAGGAGTTGTGCAATTAACTCCACAATCAAATTTCTAACATTTTCTTCTTTCTTAGATTCATTGTTGTTGACTCCTCATTTCACCCCAACCTCCCACCCATGATCTTAGGCAATTATTAATCCACTTACACTCTATTGATTTACTAATCCTGTATTTCTTTACAGGAATAAAACAAAGACCAAAAAATAGGCAAACGAGCAAACAAAAAACTCAACAATGACAAAATAAAACAGAGTAAAAACGCCAATTGAAAAGAAAGTAGGAAATATTTTTGAATGCAACAAATTGAATTGAGTTGAAACAGGAAATCAAATGATAAGGTGTAATATTTGAACATAATTGCATCTGCTATCATCAGCTTCGTCTAACAGCAAGGCTATTCACATCCCTGGTCTGCAGTCAGAGGGCATTCACAGGAAGTTTGACCCACGAGGGGACCCAGCAAATGGATTGGGGGCTTCCACTGTCATTCATAGCCTTCCACAAACCAGGTGTTCATTTTTAATCTCTACTAGTGTTCCCTCCTTCAGATTTAGATTTTATTATTTATAATCCTGGGATATCACACAGGCTAGTATGCATTTTACATGTGAACCTGGTTGACTCAGTTAGATGGCTGCTTATTTGAAGACAGCCTTTTAATACCCAGATGCTATTCTTTGGGATAGCCGGTCACCATCTGCTTTGTTCACCATGCTTTGCTACAGCATCTGTGTCTTCAGTAATCTCTTCCTGAGGGCAACTATTGTGTAGGGCCATGTCATGAGAACTAATTGTTCTCAAATTAGGGCTATGATTAATTGAGATCTCAAAAAACATACCTATGGTTTACATATGTCCATGGTTCACTTTAGATGCATCATTATCATTTTATTGGAGAATATTATAAATCATTCCCCTGGGGCATAAGGTAATTCTGTTGATGGTATCGATGATTTATCCAATGGTATAGAATTTAAAACACTGTTGAGAAAAGGAATGTACAGGTTTTTGTCACAGTGTTTTAGGCCAGAAGACATGAATTGTTTTTGTATAAATAAAAATCAAGTGATTGGACACTATTTACACATACAATGAAGGTTGGGGATAGGGCAAACTTTCAATAACACTCATTCATGAAGGCAGAACTCTGCCTGGACTCTATCTCAGACACACTTGTAAACTAAGGATCTGAGACTGGACATTCATGGTGTCTGTGAATGTGGAATACAGCTACACCAAGAGGAAGGTATTCTTGGTAGCAGAGCAACATGGTCTTGCTACATCAATACCCCATATGCTGTATTAAGATACGCACTATTCCGGCCAACCTGTGACTGACATTCTCAGTGAATATTACTGTAAATTTTCCTTGCCAATTCACTGCCATTGTTTGTGTAAATAATACCCAGTCAGCAACAAAAGGATTGATTTTGTACAAGTGAATGATTCAGGTACTGTGATATGGAGTTAACCTACATTGGCCCAATATCTCTCTTTCAACAGAGCTTAAAAAATTAGTATCATGAGCTAATCAAAGACAATAGCCACAGCACATACCCAAGGGTATGGTAGACATGATCTAGCATAAATTAACAAGGAGGTTTAGAAAGGGAGCTGAAGGCAAATTAAAAAACAACAACAACATAAAGTCAGGAATGGATATTGGGCTCTCACCAAAACCTAGCTGGAATTTAAGAACAATTAGTTCATATATCAAGGCTCCCCCCACCCCTTGATACTTCCCTTCAGGAAGGGAACACAGAAGATCTGAGTGCTATAGAAAAATGTGGTGAAGGATTTAGATGGTGCCTTCCATCAGATAAAATAGCATCCGGGCTCTTAAAGGCTTGTTTCCAAATAAGCAGCCATCTAAGTGAGAGATCCACTAGGTCCACATGGAAGGAGCACACCAACATTAGTCACCGAAGGATTGTAAATCATATAATCCAAAGCCAAAGGAGGGAATAGTATCAGAGCCTTTATTGTGAGAATCCAGTTTTCAGAAGGCTATAGATGACAGTGGGAGCCAAAGGCACATTTGGGGGAACTACATAGGAAAAAATCCTCCAGGGATTTCCCTCTCTCCATAATAGAGGGATGGGGGAAAGTGGTTACTAAAGAGAGTGCACTGGAGAGATGACTGTCGACGATCAAAGGATAAATCTGACTTGAAGGGTTAAAACTGCTTAAAACCTTGTTGGTTGATTCCTCTCTGCGGCACAATAGCCTGATCTGATTTTCAACATTTTCTGTATTTTTGTTTGTTCAAATTGAGGTTTATCTCAGATTTGTTATGCCATTGGGGTCACCCTCTTGAATGTGTGTTATAAATTTTTTCTGTTTTTCATGATATGAAACCCAGGATTGACGAACCTGTAAGAATAGGGATAGCAAACAGAATAAGGGCTTCTGAGAGGAGGAATAGTGTGTGCATGTGTGTGTCTGTGTGTGTGTGCATGCATACATGCATGCGTGTGTCTGTCTGTCTGTGTGTGTGGGTGGGGGGGGGAGAGCTGATCTCAAGGAGGTCAGGAAGGAATACAACGTTGTGAAACTGATTGTGGTAGCAATTGTACAATACTGCTTGATGTGATTGAACTAGGGTATGATATACTATCTGTATTAACTCCCAATAAAATGGTTTGAAAAACAAATAAATAAAACAAAACAAAACATAAATCTTATGTGGGTAGCCATCTGCCTGAGAGCGTGCCTAATCACGGGGGGCTGGGGCCACAAGGAAAGAAGATATGAGAGTCAAAAAGCATTATCAACTAAATTTAACTTAAAAATATATGAAAACTAAAAAGCAAAATCTCACAGTTTGGGTGGCAATTCCTGCTCCTTTGACAGAATTAATAGGTGCACGTGTCTGCAGCACATGGGAGGCAGGTATGTATGAGGGAGTGGTACCAGATAAAAAGGAAGTAAAATAAATCAATAAAAATGGCAAAAACAAACAAACAAAACCCAAACCCCTTTTGAGGGTAGTGAGAATGCCTGTGCCAAGCTGCCCACACAATCTGCTATGCACATAGGGTGACCAGGGGCCAGCAAAGGGAGAAGCTAGCTGGGCTGGCTGAATGGAGCTGAGAAAAGGATGGGCTCAGGCAGGTGTAGGGAGGATACTGAATGGCTCCGGACCCTGGTCCATGCTGAAGGAAAGGCAGGGCAAAATCAGCAGGCAGTGCTATTCTTTGATTTAAGGCGTTTGGGTTTTTTTAAACAAAAAAGCTCTGGTTTACTTGCCTTTAGTTGATTTTCTGGGTTCCAAGGAGCACAAGATCCCCTCCTCTAGGTACTGCTCAGGATTTACTGAGATCTTCCCCAGCTTGTTCCCCAGCAGTCCTATTACCCCTCTCCCAGGGGCGACTTTGAAGCTGTAATGTAATAACCTATAACATGTTTTATATGTGGCTTGAAAACAAACAGCACCTGTGATTTGATCATCATTGGATTTCCTGAATCAACCCTCAGCTGGGTGCACAGTGGTGGACATCACAGAGATGTGAAATCAGCAGTGCAGAGGCATATTGCATAATGATGAAACATTAGAATTGTTCAAGTGCAATAACAACAGCTGTCCTTTATCAAGTGTGAATTATGAATAGGAGATAATGAACAATTTCATTACAGGGATTTCTTTTCATTTACACAGAATTCCAATAAAGGTAAGTATTACTCCTGTTTTCTGAATGAAAAAACAGTGTCAGTGACGCTGAAAAATCACACACAGAGTCAGTGATAGAGTAAGGATGCAGATATGGACCTATTTTATTGTGTTTGTAAACAAGGCCTTCTGTTGTTTCACTATTTTTGAATTTTTATATTGAGTGTATTAGATTTTGGATACTCATTTTTTATTGCTAATAGAATTGCTTACAAATTTTTACTCTAAAAATAATAATTGCATTGTTTGAAATGTAATTGTTCTTTTCTTATAGTAAAACATGTCTACAGGATTCATTGATTCAGTTGCAATGTAACCATAAATGTAAGTAAATATTTTTTAATATTATCTTCTGGTCTTCAGTTTAAAATTCTCAGCAGAGTTCAATTTGCCCTCTGGATATGAACATTCTGCATTCACAGAGTCTCCCTATGGTGGGAGGAAAACACTAGGAGAGAAGGAGTGGAGGCAAGTAGAGGAATCCTTCAAAGGGGAGAGGGACTTAAAGTGCTCTTTACACAGCATTTACATAAGGTGCTATAAGTGATACAAAGATTATTTAAGGTGAATAGCAGAATGTGCCTAGGTTATAGGCCAGTATAACAAAATTTTATATAAGGGCAGCAGAAAGACCGGGCTTTTCTACTCACAGAGTAGGCAACTCACAGAGGCAGTTGTACTTTGTCCTGTAGGCTCACAATGAGTTGTGGTGAATGAGTGAGTGAGTGAGTGAGTGAGTGAGTGAATATGTGAGTGAGTGAGTGAGTGAGTGAGTGAGTGAGTGAGTGAGTGAGTGGATGAGTTATATAAGAAACTTAAGCATCATCTGATTTTGGTATGGATTTGTCTGTCCTGGTACTTATCCCCCCACAGATACTTAGGCATGATTGTATTTTTGACGTTATTTTGTAGTGATCCACTTAATTTTCAAGATTAGAAGAAACTCACCGAAATCATATGTGTGTTTTTTCCCCAATGCTTTCACTAGCATGTGGAAGAAAATTGGTGGTTCGAGAAGTCAAACCAAAGATTGTTGGAGGAAATGATGCCAAAGAAGGGGCTTGGCCCTGGCTGGTTGCTTTATATTATAACAACCAGCTGCTCTGTGGCGCTTCTCTTATCAGCAGCAACTGGCTGGTGTCAGCTGCACACTGCGTGTATGGGTGAGTCCCTGTGCCTGGTCTCAAACCAGGCCACCACAGCACACACAATGGATCATCCACAGGTTTTTCCATCTTACAAATCACCCTGTTCGAGAAATGTTACTACTGTCTATGGCATTATAAAATTTCACATCTTTATAAATTTCATTAAATATTTTCACTAGGTTATGTTTCCTACATAACTAAAAATTGTTTTGTTTTTTTTTACTTATTCACAGCATATGTATTTAATAAGGAGAAATCTTTTTTTTATCTAGGATTTGTGCTGGTTATCATTCTATTAAAAAGGTGGCCCGATGGTGCAATGGTTAAAGTGCACAGCTGCTGTTAATTTTATGGGAATAAAGAACTAGTGATTTACTCCTGTTAAAGTTCAAGCTAAAGCCAAAATCAAACTCCTTGCCATTAAGTTGATTCTGATTCATAGCGACCCTGTAGTTCCAAGTAGAAACCCTGTGGGTTTCTAAAGCTTAGATCTTTTTAAAAAATGTACTGGGCTATAATTAATATATCATACAATTCAATAGTTCAGTCATATCAAGAATTGTTCAATCATTGGAACAATAAAATTTGGAACTTTTCCTTCCTTCTTGTACCCATTAATGTTGATTCTCCATTTCACCCATGCTCCCCTTCTGCTCCCCCAGAAATCATCAATTTAGCTACTATCTTAATAATTCCAACCATCCCAGTTTCCCTATACAGACAAACATACAAAACAGAGGGCAAACAACAAACAAATATCCAGCAATGGTAGCCATAGAAAACAGGAAAAAGACCTCAATCTAAGAGAAAGAAAAGAATATTAAAAATGTAGAACAGATTCACATTACATCTACAGAAACACCAGACTGTTAGCTGTTACATTTCACCCTAAACACAGCTGCCAAAATCCACTTTACAAAGTTTCTTGAGTTCCCTACCCCTGATATTAGAGCTTTAATGTTCCTGGGCTATGAACATTGGGGCTTCACTGGGAATTCAATCCACCTAAGGACCCTGTAAATAGGTTCTGGGCTACAACTATCATCCATAGCTTTCCAAAAAGGTATTTTGAATTTAGGCACTGGTATTCCACTGAATTCCATCAAGGTATTTAGAATTCAGGCACTGGTACCTATTCCTCCCCCAAGTTTGGATCCTATTATATGCAAATCATGGATCACACAAGCTGGCGTGCTTCTTCCATGTGGACTTAGTGACATCTTCAATTGGATGGCTGCTGGTTTTGAGACAAGCCATAATTTATTTATTCTTCAACTGACGGCACTGAAGCTGTTTCCAGCTTCTTGCTTTTGTGAACTGTGCTGTTATGAATATGAGAAACATACAAATAGCATATGTCTGTTTGTATTCATTCTCTTATTTCTTTGGGGACTAAGCCTGCCAGCTGCATTGTCCTTACTGGTTTTCCTTTGCAGGTGACTGTTCACTTTTCCCCAGCTGCCCTCCTGATTCTCTCCTTTTCCTTAACATTGTAGAATGTGACTACGATATGTCCTGGTATTTTTCTTCTGGGACCTTTCTTATATAGAGTACTCTCAGCTTCTTGAATAGTTATTTTCTCCTCCTTTGTGATATTGGGGAAATTATCTTCCATGAATTCTCAAGCCATTTTGTCTGTAGATCTTTTTTTTTTTTCCTTTTGCTCTAGGATCCCAGTGAAATCAAAAGGCCTTGAATAGATCAAGGCAAATTGTCTGACACAAAATATTTTGGAAGATTTCAGGTCAGGAAGAATGAACAGTGATGGATTAAGCATGTGCCTAAATAATCACCATACCTAAGAGGGAATACTCAAGTACAGAATTCTAGGAACCCAGAGAATGAAGACCTTGGATCAGATTTCAAATGGGCCAACTAGCTAGTCTCCACAGGAGCTACTCAGATCTACATCTAACACTCTCTGATTTATGAAGTGAGCCCTGTACCTAGATGTCTACGTTATACATTCTTTCATATCTCAATTGTACCTCCTTGACTTTTCTTCCTCCTGATAGTGATATTTTATTATTTGAAAACCAACCATACCAGAATAATGTTTGTAACAACCAATATTCACATCCCCTACTTAATCTGACTTTTAGCTTTTGCCTATACGATGCTTCCTGCCTCAGGCATATGACAAAAGGGTAACAAATAGATCCTAACTGTAATGCCAATATAGAGTAATTTTCAGCTAAATACTTAGCACTTCTGGTGTAAGTCTTAGTAAGTTATCAACCTTTCTTATTAAACCTCGAATTTCATTAATTTCTGTTTGATGTTCTTGCAGAACATATTCTTTCTAAAGGTCAATCTGGCTTTCAGTAATATTAGTAACACCTTTCAATTATCTGCCTTAATAATACATAGGTCAATGATACCTGTGTACAAGCTATTGAAACCACAAGTACACCCAAAGTGTTAAAAAAAAAAAAAGGAATATGTTCAGTGATATAAGATGTAAAATGTCTTTTCACGCAGTTTCAATTTGAACATAAGTGAAGGAGAGCTATAACAGAATTGTAATGAACGCAATAGTAGTCTCACCATTTGGAGCCTTGTATTCATCTTTACATATTCACTTTAGTGACATTATTTCTTTTATAGGTTCTAAGACTTTTCTAGCTTTATATTTCATGTCTCTAACAAAGCAAGAATTCAGACATCATTTTATATAGTTCCACACTAACAATGATCGATGTGCTAATTAATACTGCTTGACTTTAAAAAACCCCAATTTTACAGTGAAAGGCTTAATTTCCTAATAAAAGTAATAATACACATAAGGCATTTTATTTTAATCATATGACAAAATGGCTTATTCTCAATGTACTTTTTAAAGATATTTACATCAATTTTTGGATAACTTTTCTTCTGTCTACTTTGTTATAGTTAATCCCTCAATTCCTAGTGAACTTGCTCAGACTCACAGCTCCTACCTGATCCTAAATAATCCCAGTATTGTTCTGTTGCTCTTTCTGTGACTTGTTTCTTTCCCACATTAAAAGATGACTGGCGGTGAAGTTTATGGGCCAACTTTACTACAATTTAAAGTCTAATCCCAAGAGTAACTTGGAAGTAGAGAACAGGATTTGAGTCCTATCTATGGTACTGGCAAGCTTTTGAATTATGGTTTTGGTGGGGAATATTGACTAAAGAATGGATCATCAGAAGAATGAACATCTTGGGAAGCCTTAGTTGACCTCCTCTGGTTTCCCCAACCCTTCTTTACCCTATTCTGAAACCAACCATTCCTTCCACGGTAATCTACTTCTATGCCAGGTTTGATAGTTCATTGCAATGGCTACATAGAGGTCACAAACATTACTCACAATTATAGGGATGTATCAGTGAAGTTAATAGGTTACCACAAGTAAGCATTAGTGAGTTAGTTAGTTTTTTGTGCCAACCTGGCCGATAAAACCATGTGGGATTAATTGAAGGGCAGAGGGATAAATGTCTCCCTGAGCCTCGCCTTTCTAGTTCTCGGGTCTCTTGCTTTGTGGTGGTCACACCAGGGTGTAGCTGCCTTAGCAGTTCCCTGCTTCAGCTTGCAAGGCTGACTTCCTGCAAGACCCCCCCAAGGAGAAGCCACATAGACCTACCCCGATGCAGCCCTGGGTGCTGGAGCAGCCATGTGGAGGGCCTGCCAACGCTGAGATGCTTACACATTCACTGACTCGGCTTTCCTCCTGCAGTTGGCATCATTGCCTCTGTTTTGTGAGATGGAGGAGGACTTTGTGAATTGGTGTTGGACATATGGGTTAATGAGTTAATGTTGGACTTGTAGGCTTGTGAAGCACTGGGTTGGGGTGTTTTCTTGATGCACACTTAACCTTTATATAAAACTCTCTCTCTTTTTTTATCATTTAATTAGGGGCTCATACAACTGCCATCACATTCCATACATTTATCAATTGTGCAAAACGCATTTGTACATTCATTGCCCTCATCATTCTCAAAACATTTCCCCTCCACTTAAGCCCCCGACATTAGGTCCTCATTTTTCCCTCTCCCTCCGCACTCATCCCTCCCCCATGAGCCCTCGATAATTTATAAATTTTATTTTGTCATATCTTGCCCTGTCTGACGTCTCCCTTCACCCACTTTTCTGTTGTCCATCCCCCTGGGAGAAGGTCACATACAGCTCCTTGTCATCGGTTCCCTCCCTCCAACCCATTCTCTCTCCACCCTCCCAGTATCACCACTCACACTGGTCCTGTAGGGATCATCCTCCCTGGATTTCCTGGATTTCCAGTTCCTGTCTTATACATGAGTTTCTGTGGATTTGTTTCTCTAAAGTACCCAGACTATTATAATCAGTAATCATAATGATACAGTCATTAGTCCACAGAACACTTGTACTCAGCAAACAGCTAAGTCTGTGTCTGGTATTCAGCCTCTCAATCATGTAGTCCCTTGTCTATTGCCTCTATGGCCAGAAAGCAAGCATGTCATTTGTCCCACCGGCCCATATACTCAGCACTATTCCACTTGGTACTCCCCAGGAAAATGGAATAATAAATTGTTTAAAATATATTTCCATGCCACCATCTCTAGTGACTCTGGTTGCAACCTAGTCACAAATCAAAGCAAGCTCTTTCAAAGTTTTGAGAGTTCTCTATCTGTTCTTGCTTCAAAGGAACATCCTTAATGTCAGGGGTGGCGTGGCAATTGAAACGGACCAATCCTCACTTTAGTGTTACACAAATTCTATTTGCATAGTCCGAACCAATCATTTGGTAGGAGTTACAGAAAAAGTGGTTGTTGTTGTTAGGTCCCAGCTCATGGAGTCCCTATGTGCAACAGAGCAAAACATGGCCCAGTCCTGCATCATCCTTTGAGCCCATCATTGCAGACATGGTGTCAGTCCATCTTGTCAAGGATCTTACTATTTTTCATTCTACCTCTTATTTTCCAGGGTCTGATTTCTCCTGATAACATATCCAAAGTTCATGTCCAAAGTATCACAATCCATGCTTCTAAGATTATTCTGGCCACACTTCCTCCAAGAC